TCTTTGTGCACCTAGATCGTGAACCTATTTCACAATCTACGGTGAGCAGTAAATACAGAGAATTGGGACATATGAGGGATGCAAATTGCAAGATAGACCAACAGTTGATGAACATACAATGCGGAGATTATCAAGGGATTTTGGTATTGGAAAGTCTTCAGTATCAAAAAAAATAAGATACCACCCTCATAAAGTACGTGTTATCCATGAATTGGCTGAAGACAACTTTGACCAAAGAACTGAATTCTGCGACTATAATATTGTACCGTTTTTAAATAAAACGAGCGGTTCGAATTTATATAAATATATGTATTTATAACTTTACAGTTCGATACTATCTTATCAACTAACTTTACTCCTAAGATCGTTACATATATATACCTAAGTTACTACGTTCTAGAAGTTCCCACCCCTAATTCGAACACGTGACCAATTGTTCCCTTGCCTTCGCGAGTTTTGGTGATGATTCTCGAAGCGGTTTCGAGATGCAACTGTTACATGTGACATGCCGAAAGCATGTTCGTAACAATATGATGAACCAAAATAACAATTTCATTGATAACGTTTTATTTTAGGACGAGGCAACGTTTTATTTGAAAGGTAGTGTTAACCAGCAAAATACTCGTTATTAGTCAAATGAAAATGCACACTGAATGCAAGAGTCCCATACGCAAAGACCAAAAAAAACCAACGCATGGGCTGGCATTATGAGAAATACAATTTTTGTTCCATATTTTTTGACGAAAATGCAACAGGTCCATTATATCTGGATTCCCTATAAAATTTATTAATTCCTGATCTGATCCAGCTTTTTCCTGGTATATTCAAATACCCACTGTTTTAAACCGCTGAATCTGGTTTCAACAGGATGGCGCACCGCCACATTTCGTAGTAACTATGCGCGATGTTTAAACAGAACTTCTTCACAAAGGTGGATAGAAATAATGGGACTAGTGGAATGTCCCGGTAGATCACCTGATATATGCCCATTAGACTTCTTTTTCTGGGGGTTATTTAATATCTGATATCTTTTCACAAAGAAACCTGGAAATATCCGACAACTACAAGACGAATTAGACAAGAAAGGCATATAATACCCGCAATACTACATAATGTTAGATACGAAAATAATGCCCGGTTCAGTCATTGTCTAACGATCAATGAAGAACAATTTGAACATTTATTGTAAATATTCGTTTGTTTGATTTTGGTAGTGGATCACAGTAATTGCAAAAATACATAATTCCATTTAATTTGTTCATTACATTGAGTAGCGTATTACTTTCCATAAACAATTGTCATAAACTTTTTTTGTATTTCTGCCCACCCTGTACCAATTTTAAGCAACGTGTTATACATTGTTGAAATCAGCTCAGCAAGGCAAATCCGGAAATTGAAAAAAATGGTTTCCATTTAAAACAAAAGGTGAGCGGTCGTAGGACCGCCGACAGAAGCTTTCTTCTTCTGCACAATAGAATAGATATCATGTGGTCGTAGAAAAAATCATTTGTGTAATTCGATTGGAAAATTATTTGAGGCTTTCAATAAATTGCAACTTTAATATCGTGTAGTCATAGAAAGAATATTGTGTGTAATTTGATTGAAAAGCTATTTATCGCTTTAAATAAATTGCAACTTGCAGTTTGTTCTGCGGAAATGAAAAGTCATATTTCTTTGGTATCGTGTGGTCGTAGAAAAAATATTGTGGTAATTCAGTTGGAAAGTTATTTGCCGCTTTGAATAAATTACCACTTCTAGTCTTGTCGAAGAAACTAGAAAATGCTTATTTCTTTAATATCGTGTAGTCGTAGAAAAAATAGTGTGTGTAATTCGATTGGAAAGCTGTTTGCCCTTTTCCATAAATGGCAACTTGTAGTTTGTTCTAAGAAAATGAAAAATTTATATTCCTTCAGTATCGAATAATTGTACAAAAAATATTCTGTATAATTCGATTTGAAAGCTATACGTCGCTTTCAATAAATGGCAACTTGTAGTTTGTTCTAAGAAACTAGAAAATGCATATTTCTTTAATATCTTGTGGTCGTAGAAAAAATATGCAGTATAATTCGATTGGAAAGCTATATGACGCTTTCAATAAATGGCAACTTGCAGTTTGTTCTAAGAAAATGGAAAATGCATATTTCTTTAATATAGTGTAGTCGTAGAAAAAATACTGTGTGTAATTCGATTGGAAAGCTATTTGCCGCTTTCAATAATTGGCAACTCGTAGTTTAAATTTATTGTACTATCTTACTATCTTGTACCATCTTACTAAAAATAATAAACAACTAAACGATTTAATAAAACGTCCACGTATAATTAAAAAATAGCTTGTACTACTTGTAGTTTGATATAAGAAAATGAAAAATTTCTTATGTCGTGCAATAAGAAGCAAGCATCAAAATGGTGATGATGTAATCACACGAATGTGATTCACCCTGTACACTAGATCATAATTTAAACAAATAGTAAATTAAAATCAATCTGTTTCAGGTATTTCTAATTTTATCGTTTATTTAACTAATAATGAATGAATGCCTTTATAGACGCACTGTATATATGGCGTGGTGAAACGTAAATTGCATTCAGTGATTTTTAAATCTGACTGGTGAACTAGGTGGATAGATATTTTGAATTGAATAGTCAAACTAAAGTACAAAAATATTACATAATATACTTACCATTTAAAGTCGTATCATTCAATAGCACGTGTTTGGAATCCAACACTTGTTCACGTTCCTCTCTGTTTAGACATTTTGTAGATTCATATTTTGGAAGAAATATAAGGTTATTTTGCAACTTATCACATGATTTGGTTTCGAGTAACTGTTGTTTTGTCTTAGATGTAATTTCATAAGCAGCATTTATTTTGTTAACAGCATTTTTCAGCTTTTGTAATCTCGTTTTGTACATGTTAATATTTCACCCACACACAATCCAAATTGCGGCAACTCAACTCTAAAGTCTAACTAGAACTAAAATAACGGTCCAGCAACATCGCATTGTTGGGTAGAGGGAGCCACTATCTTACCACGCCCCCGTTGCCACAATTTGGCTTGTGTTAAACTAAATAATGGAAAACTAAATAATGGAAACTAACACACATTCTAGAGAAATTAAATTAAAAACAAATTTATAAACATTTCTTCAAAAAACGAGTATCTACTGAAATGTAAACCAAATTTTCAGTTTATTGCCTCAAAATCATGACGAAATGATGTGATGTTAGTGAAATAAATACCAAAAAAATTCTGGCAACGTGTGTAAGTTGCCACAATTTTAGAAGTTACCAGAGTGCAGGCTTATTCACACACAAGTTGCCATAAATATCCTGGGACACACACACACACACACACACACACACACACACACACACACACACACACACACACATCCATACATAAGCTCTACAATATCGTAGCTATCAATTCACCTAATATCCGAAGATAAGTAGCTAGACTGCTAGAGAATAAAAGATACAAAGTCTAGAATCGCAACATCCACTCAACGAATACCAGCTCAATTTATGACTAAAATCGAGAAAAAACTGACCAAAGATTATTGCAAATTTGACACTAACTCCACGTTTATTGATTACATATTACCCCTAAATAGCAGATAAAACATTTAGAAGTATGTAATATTGGTGAACTGGTACATTCTTCTTATATAAATTAAGCATTCTTCCCTCTTTTGTGCACTACTACCAATTTTTTACATAAAAATATCTATTTTTGCACTTAAATATTTATTTTAAGATAACCTATCCAGAATTATATGTAGTACACAGATAAAACCAGAAATAAAATAATAAAGAAGCTGTATACAAGATATCGTAAAACAATGGATTAACTAAAAGTTCTTATTAATCGTATTCTTAAATAAAACGTATAAAGACATATTCATGTTAACAAAATACATTAGGAAATATTCGAATATGAAAAAACACGTCCAACTTGGTAATGAAATCCTTTTGTATTTATAAAGCTATTTTTAGAATAGCAGGTACCTACCAAAAACAGGTATTTGGTATTATACATATCTATTACATATTGTCAATATGATCGCCAACATTCATAACGGATAGGCACATCAAGAAGAAGAAGAAGATTACATATTGTAATGCGTATGAAAAGGAGTCCGTATGAACCGTTTAAAATATATAAAATACATATATCAAGAACGCTGGCCTAAGTGCATAGTTGCCAAACTATCAGAGCTTACTTAAACCGATATTCCTATGGTTCCAATATACAGTGAAAAAGATCTGAACGACCCCTATAATATATACACGTGAACTAAGCGAAATACATTTATGATACAGGGGTACTTATGAGCTCCAAAATTTTATTAAGAATTATGAAACTATACATCTTAACGAATCGACAGAGCCAATATTATGGAATGGTCATGTGAGCTCCGTATATCGGTGTCCACTTGACCACGGAGCTCACTTGAACCTGAATTTTAACATGGGCGGAGTTCACTTTATGCCGTAAATATATATATATATATATATATATATATATATATATATATATATATATATATATATATATTCCAAAGTGCAATAATCATACATATACGCAAAAATACGGCTGTTGATTAAATTTAAAAAATATTCAATGGTTGAATAGCAGAGGTTTTATCGGTCAATAATTGGCAAATAAAAGTCGTCAAGTACTTTATTGATTTATTCGAATACGTTTCGTTTTTATTTTTAAAAGCATCATCAGTTCACTACAAATAAAAAATATTTTAGAATATAAATAAACAACCAACAGGGTTCATAGTTACAAAAACAATTTGTCGGTTTTTTTTAGTAGATGTTATAAAAAAAGATGTTATATAAAGATTAACAAGTAAACGAGAGAAACGAAACAAAAAAATACAAGAAAAACTGTAACGTATTCGAATACATCAATAAAGTAGTTGAAATAGAAGAGAAATTTAAAATTAATATTATACCATAGTTTGGAATGATAAAACAACTATTTTACCTGATATGTGTTTACTGTAAACTTATCATTGCCCTGAACAAAACTCTTTAAATTAACAGCATAACATCCAAAAATAGATACAAGTAGTAAAAAAACTATTGTGTAACGCATCTTGTCAATTCGGTGGTCACAAGTTAACTACAGAATGGTTTGAAAATCGCTGGCATTAAAACTTAAATCGAAAAAACAGTTCCTTGTTGAGCTTGCAAAATCTTTTTTATGTAAATTTTAGTTATCAGTAAAATAGGTAATTTATTTATATTTAATTAAAAATTGTTTTTAAACACTAATATTAATAATAATAAAAATAAATTTACTGCGTATTTGTTATTATTCAGATAAAAATTAAAAAAAACTCTCAAACTTGCTCACTCAAATTATGAGATTTCATTTTTTTTATTTACTAATAATAGTCGCTTCAACCATCTGGGTAACCCCCTCTGTGGCTCAGTGGTAAGAGCGCCTACCTTTAAACCTAAAGGTCGTGAGTTCGAATCCCACCTGGGTGGAAATTTTCGTTTATTAAAAAAATTAATAAATGAAAATAATTTCTATCCTTGTGTGATCGTTACTCACCGGAGGGACCGCAGACGTTCGGATACAATTAGCGTCTCTTAGCAAAGACAATGACGTCGACTTTGCTAAGTATCAGGATAATTACTCTACACACAAACACAGACACACACACACTACATTAATAAACTTATCTTAATTGAGACTGGCTGAATGACAATTATCCAAGCCAAAACAAACAAAAAAAAACCACCTGGGTTATTAGCGACATTAGTTTACATTAGTTAAATTATTATATTAAATTATATAAAGATGTTTCTTTTAGAAATCTAATTAAGTTTTTAGTATTTAAATGTTCACCTAATACTGATTTTAAGTCACTGGAAATATTGTTATTTTGTCTGTTAACTGTATATTTTCCACATTCTGTTAGGAGATGTTTAACAGTAATATTGACTTGACAGTAATCACACATTGGAATGTCTTCTTTACTTATTAGGTGCTTATGAGTAATATTGGTATGACCTAATCGAAGTCGAGAAATTTTGACTTGGTCAGCTCTTTTTAAGTTTACTAGGCGCCACGGTTTCACTGTCGATTTAATTTCTTTTAATTTAGATTCCGATAAGTGCCACTTATTTTGCCACACACTAATCACCTTTTCTTTAACGAACTGTTTTATATCACTGCAGATAGTCTTTGACACTATTATAGCTTGATCATTTTTGGTAGCTTCTCTTGCTTGGAGGTCTGCGTTTTCATTACCTTGTATTCCCGTGTGAAATGGAACCCACATAAATTTGACTTCTGAACCAGATTCTTGTAAGGCAGCAAGTTCTTTCTTGACAAGTAAGGCCATAAGGTTCTTAGTATATAGTTGGCCGATTGTTTTTAAGGAGTTTGGAGAATCTGTGATAGGTAATGACGGAAGAAGAATGGTTTGTACTTTTGATGTGAATGAGGGCTTGTAATATTGCATATAATTCTGCTGTGTATACAGAAGTGGCTGGCATTAATTTAAATTGGGAAGAGGAATATGGAGTGACAAATGCTGCTCCTACGTCATTTGCAGATTTGGAGGCATCTGTATAAATGCAAAAGCTTTTCCCGTAAGTCTCGAGTTCCTTTAAACATGACTGTCGGATTACAGTGGGTGATGTATCTGATTTGTTATATTGGAGTAGCGTCGTATTGATTTCGGGAATCATGATTCACCAGGGTGGTGGAGTTTTTACATTTGAAGGAAAGAGGTCAGAAATTTGGAGTTGTAGATCTTTTAAATTTCTTTGAACTCTTTCGTAGAATGGTGGATCGAATCTACTTTTGTTATAAGTTTTTAGGTAACGGTCCGTAAATGTTTTTAAAATACTGGGTGGAACTTGTTGCTGGCGATTGATGCTGCATACGAAAGGCATAAATAATTTCTTCGTAGATTAAGAGGTGGCTCTCCTGTAAGGCATTGGAGATTCTTAACTGGTGTGGTTCTAAATGCACCTATGGCAATGTGAAGTGCTGTGTTCTGAATGACTTTAAGTTGCTTGGTAACATGTTTTTTAGCGGAGACATACACAATAGCCCCAAAATCTATTTTTGATCTAACGAGTGACATAAATATTTAATAACGTGGTTTCGTCGGATCCCCATTTTTTATTTGATAATGTTTTCATTACATTTAATCTATTTTGGCAAGATTTTTTTATTTCTAAAATATGTTGTTTCCATGTTAGTTTTTGGTCAAATACCATTCCGAGAAAATTAATTTTTTCTGAGAATTTGAGCGGCTCGCCATACAGTTTTAAAGATGTTCTCTGTAACCGGTGCCTTCTTGAGAAAAGCATTTTGTTTTTAGTGGGGAGAATTGCACGCCTACTGACATTGACCATATCTCTAATTTATAAATAGATCCTTGTAAGTGTTTTTGAATCATTCTCATATTCTTGCCCTTTGCAAAGAGAACCAGATTTCATTAAACATCGTTCTTTGTTCTGTAACAATAAAACACTGAAAACTTTGTTTTCAAAACTTCCAGATAATTTATTATAAAATCTTATCACTACAGCTTTTTCGACAGAGTGCCTTTCTCAAGTGATCTTTTTTGGGATGCGTTTACACTTTATATTCTTTAATAAAATAGGTTGGGAGAACTGTTTATCTCAAGGTAGTCACTCAGAATAATTATATGTCTGTGTTTTAGTTTGCTAATTTTCATAGATTCTAACAGAGATAACTTAAAGCCTGTATTTTGAATGTGAAGAATTTGAAATTCGTCATTAAAAGAATGATTATGATTTAGAAGGTGAAGTGCGTATGTAGAATCTGTTTTTCTATTAGTGAAAGCCCTTGTATGTTCTGCTATTTGTTTATTAAAATCTCTATCAGTTTGATCGATGTTTGCGCTTATTATTTTGGCTCTTGTTGTTTTTAATATATTTGACTAAGTTGTTGTTTATTCTGAAAGCTGGTAATACTCATTTCTCTTTTATGTGTTTGCCTATTTTTGTTGACATTTTGCCTGTATATGTAATCGAGCAGAAGCTACTGGGTTTTTTGTCTGCTGGTGGAAATACAAATTTCAGGGCCTTTTTGTGCAGTTTTTGTTTTTAAATTTTATTAACTGTTTGTGCGTTGTATCTATTGCTTACTGCTATTTGCTTAATATTATTTAATTCCGTCTCAAAGTTGTATTTTTACATCGGAATTTCTGTTAATCTATGTAACATACTATGATAGGCTGCCAGTTTATGTTGTGTGGAATGGGATGATGAATTATGTATAGTCGTGTCAGTATTTCTAGGTTTACGAAATATGAAGAAGTCATGTTTGTTTTTAAGTCTGATAATTTTTAAATATAAAAAAATATGGATTGATTTTGTTCTGTTTCTATTTTAAATTCAATTTGACTATAAAGTGAATTAAAATATGATGAAAATTGGTCGAGTTGCCTGTTAGTTCCTGTGAAACGTACCAATACATTATCTACGTATCTCCACCAATATAAAAACTGTTTGAATATGGGATGTTTTAAAATCTTTCTCTCTAGATGATCCATAAAAATATCTGATAGCAATGGGCGTAGATGATTACCCACTATCAGTCCTGCACTGTTATTTGTATATATTTGATTATTAAATTCAAAGTAGTCCCGTTTTATGCAAATTTTGAGAAGATGTAAAATTTCGGATGTAATGATTGGATTTGTCAAATTATGGTCCAAAACGTTTTGTACTAGAATAAAAGTTTTTGTAGGAGGAATATTAGGAAAAAGATTTATACGCCAAATGAAATTAATTTGGAGTCCTTAGGTAATTGAAAATGTATTTTATTAACTAAGTCCATTGTATCTTTTACGGTAAATTTAGGTGAAAATTAAGTGTGTTTTAAAATAACCTCTAACATATTTTTTGAAAGTTTATATGACGGAGCTGTATAAAAAGAAACTACAGGTCTTATTGGATGAACCGGTTTCTGAAGTTTAATAAAAGAGTACAATTTAGGAGACTGTGAGTTCATGATATTAAGGTGTTTCTGTTTTGTTGGACTTACTTATCATCCAGCCTCAAGAATCCACTGCTAAACATAGGCCTCTTCCTCGTGTTTCCAACCCCGTCTATCTTGCGCCGCTCTTATCCAGTTTTTATTGAGTCTTCTCAAATCGTCAGTCCATCTTGTAGGTAGTCGACCGACGCTTTTCTTGTTTTCCCTTGGCCTCCATTCCAATAACCTCTTTGGCCATCGCCCCTCTGTCATTCTGGCTATGTATCCTGCCCACCTCCATTTTAGTCTGGCTATCTTCTCGATGATGTCAGTCACTCCGGTTCTTCTCCTGATGTCTTCGTTGGTTATTCTGTCTCGCAGAGTTATTCCTAACATGGACCGCTCCATTTTTCTCTGCGTGACTCTCAGTTTGGTAGCTGCGTTGGACTTACTATTAATTTTGAATTTTCTAACGTTAGCCTATTTTTTTTGGATACTTTTCTGTCGTATTTTTGTGTACCGTTTTAATATTTTAATTATTTAAACATTCTATTGTTTTGTTATTATATTCTATTTTATCTATAGCAATAGTAGATAGTGTTACCTTTGTCTATATATCTAAGTTTTCAGTGTTTTATTGTTACATAAAATTAATTTCCATCAAGTTACGGTCGAATCCATCAATTAGTTCTTTGTTGTATTATATTTTGGACATAACAGACTTTGGGATGGAATTTTGGGATAGAATTTCGTATTGTCTATGCCCATTATTCTTTTTCATATGGTCGAGGTGCAAAAGCCTTTATTGTCAATCCAGTTTGCACTAAGTATATCAAAAATATAAAATAAAGGGAGGAAACGTCGATTAATGGAAATGTTTTGAATAAATCGTATTAAAATGTAATACATTTAATAAGTCTTAAAATAAGCAACACAATTTAAGGCATTGGCTAGTTGATAAAAATTTGAATACATTCAAAGAACAAATAATTAAAATCAGTTAACGTTTTATTTTTACAAAAACAGTTTTTCTTTTCCATGTGCCTCCCTATCGTTGGAGCTTAACGGGTAGGGTGGCAAACAGTTATTTGTATTTACCTATGCGCATAAAATCTTCAAACCCTAGTGCTTTCCAGTTTTTAGTATTACGCAGACAAGAC